TTAACATTTTTTTCAATATTCGATTAACGGTTAATTTGATTCGAAATCAGTTAATTAACCAAATTAACAAAATTGTGAAATATATTATATTAAATACATATTTTAAGCTCAAAGTAATTAAGAATAAAGATTCAATTAGTTTTTAATCACGCTAAACTCATTAAATTATCAATACCTGATTAAAATTTTAATCAATATAAAAAATACTTATATTATAATCGAACTTTGTTCGGTTTGATTATCGGTTTAAGAAAAAAGTTCGGTTAATTCGATTAATAAAAAGTTGGTTCATTCAGTGGCCAAATTAACCGTTTGAACACCCCTTGTTCCAAGAAAGCTAAAAAGAGTAGAAAGATTGCTCACTAATGGATTGATTCAAGCGGTAAATAGTTTAAAATCATTTAAGTATATATCGAGTTTGAGTTTTATATATGTAGAAAATCCTCATTAAAAGATACATCTAACAAAGATATACAATCAAAATCGATCCGAATTAATCAAAATGAAGTATTAACAATCGAAAGGAAAAAAAGAGAGTAGGAAGATTACTTAAATGAACATAATTCAAGGCTGATTGATGGGTGCATTCAATGACACATTTCATTCGAAGAAATAGATCGTTGGAATTCAATTTGAATTTAATGTCAACTTCAATTTTATTTTAATAGAAATTTTCTATTCTTACAATACTTGTTTAGTTTATATCCATTTATAGTTTACATCATTGCACTAATTTACTTGGTTTTATATAATTATTATATTTTCCAAAATTTTAACTTTCGTTTTTAATAAATTTATCTCTCTATTCTATATACAAATTAAAATTTAATTAAAAAAATATAATATTCGCCGAACGTAAATGAAAACGGTTAACCACAGGTACCAATGCACAATAATATCATACGATTCCAAATTTATATGTAATTAAATTAGACTGAATGGATGAGAAACTTGTCCATTTTTTTGGTTTTAAATTTAGAAAAAATTAAAATGAACGTCTTGTTTAAGAGATAACCAACTCTTATTATCCGGGACAAAACTAAAAGGGTTTGAGGGCTCAAAAAGATTTGGTTAATGATAATTTTCAAATATTAAATAAATCATGTCATGCCTTCCAAAATTCAACATATTTTTTAAATTTAATAATTCATCTATTTCCATATTCGATCTCGATTATGTTTCCATTTATCTCTCAATCTAATAAAACATCAGTGGATATACGATTCTTCAATAATCCCTAATTGATTAACTTTAACAAAACTAATTTGTATTTCAATCATGCTTTAACTTTTTAATCATAAAAAGTAGAATAATTAGATCCTTAAAATTTAGAAAGAGACACTAAATCCTATAAATTTAAAAACTATAGGGAATATTGAAAGAATTATATTTTTTACAAATTTCCCCCCAAATACTCTAAACACTAGGGCAGAGAAAGGAAAAGCAAAAGAGTAGTAGAAATGTAAGCATGAATCCAAGTGATTGAAGTAGCATCATCTTTGGATTTGGTCACTGTACTAGGGTCCTTTTGGGTAGTTGCCTTTTGTTTTACCTACCTTCTTCACATGCAGTGATTATAGGATGTGAATTTCCCTTAAATATTTCTATATTTTAAATTTCAAATTAAACTATTTATATTTAATACATAATGTTTTAAATAAATATAAGATGTGTGAGGATAATTTATACTCTACATTTTTACACAATGATAGAGTTGAGATTAGGGGTAGATTATCATGTCAAATCAAATTAGATAAGATTTATTTTTAGTAAAAATTATACTTAATCTGGTATATATTATAAAATATGGATCTCACTAGAAAAAAATATAGAGATATATGTTGTTGTAATTTTTTTACATATATATACAAAATAATTACAGTATTATTTCGAGTCAAATTAAAAAATTTCCATCCTAAATTCAAACATGATTTTATCTTTCAAAAATTCAAACTTTGTTCAAATTGGAAGAGTAATCATCTTCTAAAATTATTGGTATTTAAGTATACAAGAATATTTATTTATTTGTACCATAACTTTAAATTATTTAAACTTCACTTATCATTTTCTATCACTAATTATATTTTATCCCGAAATTTAACTAACTCCAATTTTTTTTTCAATTAGAAGTGTTGAGTACAATTATAAGTACAGTTAATATCCACTTACATAATATAATTTTTTTAATTTTATATAAATTTAAAATCATTGAATGAATATAAATAAACTATTAAGACTAATTCATTATTTTTAAGTAAACGGAGACGAAGTTAAAATTTTTATTTTCATATGTTAGAATAATTTTTTTATAAATATTTGAGGGTTAATTTTTTTTATTAACTTTATAATTATAAAATAAGAATTATTATTCAAATTTCAATAAAAATTATAAAATAATATGTTTGATAGTGTTAAGTCTGTTTGAGTACGACGCGTGTGGTGTGGAAGATAAGCTCTAACTTCGAGAAAAGAAGTAAATGCCTAACAACTTCATTCCACTACAAGACCAACTTAACCTTGTACTTTTAATTTGGATAAAGTACATGACTCATCACTTTATTTAGATATTATTTTATTTTGGTGAGTAAATTTTCTGAAATTTAAACTTTCGAACACTCACTGTTAAATAATTAACAGAATTTTCAAAAAAAAAAAGTAACAGAATGATAGCATAAAATCTTTCTTTATTCGATATAAATATTATTAAATTATTCTAATTCTAAACAAACAATTTAACCTTCCCATCTAAAAAGTCTTACCAATTCGTTCTCAACGTCATTAATGATTATCAAAATATTTAAACTAGACCCGACTTGATCCGATTTTATAGAGTTTTTTTTAATTACCGAATTCGGAGTGGAGCGGGATGAGTTATATAGTAGATAGGTTTAGGGTGAGAAGGGGATAGATTTAAGGTAAAAAATCACATATCTAATCCAACCCGGTATAAACATTTATATATAATTACAAATTTTTATTTTATATTGTTAAAATAGGTTTTTAATTGTTAAAAATATAATATATTATAATAAATTATATTATTTTAACAGTTTAAAATATAATAAATAATTATAAATATATTATTTTAATTATTTTAAAATATTAATATATTTAATTTGGATCGGATCGAAATCAGAGTTTTAGTAAAAAAGTCGAGGCGATAAAAAATTTAATAATCATTGAGGCAGGATAGGTCCGAATATAAATAAAATATTTTTGAGTCGGGATCGAAGCGACCAAAAAAAACCAGTCCGTCCTGCCGCGTCCCCATCCCTAAATTCATCATTGAGGCCCTTACCGACTGCCATTAGCGCATTAATCACCACTAAGCTGTACACAGTCTTCATTGCCATCATACCTCTCGATCTTCTCTTTCCAGAGTCGTTGCAACATTGAAATTCGTTAAGGGATTTTTCGATTACGATCGATCGAAACTCTTTAATAATTAAAAGAGTATTACATTTTTAAGGTATTCGATGTTACTTTAACTCATGTAATTTTCTCCTCGACTCTGTTTTGAAAACCGATAACATCACCGGTTTTGAAAACCATGCTCCTCGACCCTTAAAATTATCCTGAGAATATATCTACTAAAGAAATGGATCGAACCTGGGTCTCCTACGAGGAGAATGTGGCGCTCAACTGTCTGAGCTGGCCAAGGTCATTCTACTAAAGAAATAATATTCATAAATTATATTATACGTCGAGTCACGGTGTGTAGTAGGCTATGATCACTTGAATTGATGTTTATATTTTAGTATAACTGAAACTAATCGATTTAATCTATCAACCTTTAACTATATTCATTTTAAGCAGCTTAATTAGTCTAAATCGAATTAGCAAGAAACACATTTAACCAACATCAACAAAACAGAATGTGTCGAGTTTTAATGGACATAAGATCGTCACTCACCACACACATCAAATAGACCAAAAAAGAAAAAGTGGGTTAATTTTGTTACAGATGAAGCGATGTATCCACACGATGATCATCATTCAAATCCCAATCATGGAATCTGTTCCGAAAGACATGCGTAGAGCAGGTTTCCTCCGAGACAGCGGGCAAAAATCTCGCAAAAAATGGGGCTTCCATGCACCCAAAACCACTACCATGATGAGAATGAACCGCTGCTACAGCAGGCAGGAAATGGAAGAAGAACAACCCCGACGGAGAATCATACCTATAAGCCAACTGTTTAGGCTCTTCCTGTCCCTGCTGCAGCCTTTTAAGTAACTCTAGCTCATCCCGTTCTCTCTTCTCCTTCCTTCTCTGCAACTGCTTGAATCTCTCTTGCAGTAGAGCTATGGATGATCGATTGACAGTAGCTTCATTAATGCTTTGATTGCTTTCCATTGCCAAAATCAAACACTATATATATAAATATATGGTCGATCTTTTGCTATGCAAGAAGGAGCCTTGGCTTTACGTGTGTATTCAGTTTATAGCTATATATAGGATCGATGTTGGCGACGTGGTTTAGTTCAAGGCATAGAGTTGTTCGATAAAATTATAAACAATGATTTGAAAGAAAGGGAATAGAATCCGCTACTAAGCAGAAAGCAGCAATGTCCAAAAGGAAAGCGTTAAGTGTATGTGGAAGCCAAGTGAGAAGGTGCAAAAGCTACGCTAAAAGGAGGAAGAGTCCAAAAAAGAATGTTGAAATTATATATATATCCTTTGCATGTATAGCACATGCAATGTCATACATACATACATACATGTTTGCATGCAATATTTCTCTTTCGAAATATGCTTGTCTTCAAGTTACTGGGATGGAGTGGCATGCGTATAGGTACCAATGTGCCAACAGTGTTGGGACTTAAAGGATTCTTCTTTTATGCTTCTATTATTTATTTATTTTGGATTTAGTACATAGAAATTTGTCAGAGTTCTTGAAAATTAATATGCAACCGTAATTTTAATTTGCAAAAACTAATAACCTTTGAATTAAATCATTTCATTTACATTCTTTTTGCAACTCTCAGCCACCATAAGATTACCATGAACAAGTCGAACAAATGCTTATTAACATTTTACCAGCAGTGCATCAAGAAATGAACAATGCAAGAATAAATTATCCACTTGTGTCACTTTGAAACTTAAAGCTGAACCTACTGGAGCGGAGCATAAGGTTTATCTTTTATGAAGCATTAGGACTAACAACACCCACCACCACCCGTTGGAGTCGTATTGGTTTGCTGGTTCTCTTCCAACTGTAGAACCACAGTCTTCCCGTTAAATGAAGACGACTCCGGCTTCTTGAGCTCCTGAGACATCATAACTTTCTTGCTCAATATGTTGTAGATTTCTTTTACAACTGTCTGAAAGGCGGCTACTACATTGGAGGAATCAAGGGCAGAAGTCTCCATGAAAAACAAACCCTGTGCCTCCGCCAAGGCCTTTCCTTCAGCAGCGGATACTTCCCTGGCATCTCTGAGATCTGACTTGTTGCCTACTAAAATGGTGACTACATTCATATCCGAGTGAGCTGTCAAAAATGATAGATGGCACATGTTAATCCTTAGCCATCAAGGCCCAAAACTGATAATTCTATAACATCCCCAAGAAGGGCAATCAAAAGGAAAAGCTTTCTAGTTAGTAAAATACGCCATAATACGGCGACGAGTCCCTTTAGAGTCTGAAAACAGGATTAAACCAGCACATTCTGAACTTCGAGTGACTTCTGATGTCATAGAAATGAGGTTCATATTGAGAAGGTTTATACTTGGATAGTATGGATGTGAAATCAAGAAAAGACAAGTTCATCACGGTTCTTACTCTGAAGTTCATTTAGCCATCTGCCAATGCTTTCAAAAGTCTGTCGTCTGCTGATGTCATAAACAAGGAGAGCTCCAACTGCACCTCGGTAATATGCAGATGTAACAGCCCTAAAACGCTCTTGACCAGCTGTATCCCAGATCTGTGCCTTGACTTCCTTCCCATTTACATCCACCTTCTGGGTTTGAAACTCAACTCCTATGGTTGACTTTGAATTAGGATAGAACTCATCCCTCGCAAATCTTGCAAGTAAATTCGATTTTCCTACAGCTGAATCACCGACCAATACAATCTTGAAAAGGTATTCATTAATTTTCTCTTCCTCCGAAACAAAAGCCATTTTCCAACCTTCCAAAGATTGTCACTCTATAGAACCATATCAATAATGAATATCATTCAGGTTCTTTTTCTGGGACTAAAATTCTCTCCTAGGAGACGCCAACCTTTCCTATTCAAGAACAAATATGGGTTTAGAGGATAAAGGAATAAAAGCAGCTGGAAAAGGAAACTTGAAAGAGATGGTATAATAAGTACAAAATGCCACTCAGCAATTGCTTATATGCAGAATCCGAGAAAATGCCTATCTTCTGAAGCAAATATTGCATCAATTGGTAACTTCTACTCCACTCTCTGCATCCAGCAGAGAAAAATCTATCCTCAAAGCTCAACGTGTTAAGTTCACTGCAGTGAAAACAAAAACCAGAGGGAAACACTAAAACCATCAACAAATACTGCAACTAACCGCAAAGAGTAGTCAGAAAAGCATACAGCATATCATCCAGCTAAAAGATACATGATAAGTAAACTTTTCTTCAGAACATAAAACATAAAAAAGGCAACTGGTTTGGTGCGACAAGTGACATGCTACTAATTAAGGTCTTACACAAGTAATCCCATGAAGGCAAGGAACAGTACCTTGATCCCTCCAATGAACATGCTTCTACCTTGCCTGGCACATGCAATCCCACTTAAGCTCCTTCTATGACTTAGATCTTTAAAGCACAAAACAAGAACATAAGATAAATGTCAGATTATCTGTAGGAATCACATTTTAGCAGCAACTCGTTACTTTAGAGGATACTGAAAAGAACCTCATAAATGCCATATTACAAGTCCCAAACAAGAGCTAATAAAATATGTGACTACTAGACTGGAACTAAAGACACATCACATATTCATCCCAAATAGTAGTGCTCCCAAGATTCCTATTCTTCCACTTTGCCTATTACAGGAAAAAGTGGCATTAAATAACAAAAACTAGAGGTCGGAGCCGGATATATAAGATTTCTTAATATTCTTTGAACAAAATTTCTATAGCTACGAAGACCTTCAAGAAATCAATATTGCATTATCACCTACAAGGCTACAACTGTAGTATAAGATGCTTGATACTATTGAAATGAGAATGAACTTACGCATTGCACCATACAAGATAAATATCATAGCTCAACAGGCTCGCTTTGGACATTGATCCACAAACAACATAGACTTTATTTACAAATGAAGCCTTTTACTTTCAGTTTTAAATGCGGGGCTCCATCCATAAGGTTTCTTGTCTTATTCATTGTCTTAAATAATAAAGATACTGAAAACTGAGTCCTTAAAAGTTATTTATTTCTACACAGGAAAGTTTTTCAAAAGAGTTAAAATTGCAGATCCCGAAGCTTTACTGCTAAGTAGGCAGCTCATAAACCCTTCACTGAAACAAAGATCGGAGAAACTAATAAACTTTGACCGCAACAACCAAAGAATAGTATATTAAGATATGCTCTTGATCAAATAGTACTTGCAATGAACAAGCCAAATCGAATTATGACATATCTAGACTCAGTTTTCCATCAAAGAGATGCCATTAAAAATTCAAATCATCAAGCATACTACTATCAAAATATATAATTTGCAGTTGACCTAAACAAGTTTTAAGTACCTAACAGCAGCAGCTAAGTCTCATATGGCCAAAAAAGGAATTCACATTGCAGAGTTACAAAAAGGTAATAAACTTTTCTTAATCAAAATGAAAAACTTATTATCAGTTAAAAACACAACTTCAAGCATTAGATGGGTGAAACGGTAATAAAATAAGCATCCAATATCGAATGACTTCCAAGCTATTAACGAAACAAATATTAGCAAAAGCAGACAAGTAACTGAAACAACAACAACAAAAAAATGTGATTGAGAATCGACATTTACAAATGATCCAGAATCAGGTGAAATGAAACCCTAACTAGTATCAATTGCGATAAATCAAAGCCATTGTTGCCGCACCAAATTATAAACTAATAAAAAACAATGAATCCGCTATAAGATTAGAGAAATAGATCGCGTTTTCATTGTACTCACCAACTGTACAAAGAATTGCGAAGCTGAAAGAAGAGAAGCCCTTCTTTTATCTGAGAACGACGATGAAATGGCTAAAATGGTAAGCGTTAAGAAAGGATCTGAGGTGAATAAAATGCAATGAGTGGGTAAGGGCGACTGGGCTAAGAGAACAACAAAATCAAATGATTTTAATGTTTTTGTTTGTTTGATTAAGTGGAGCAACAAAAATAAAACGCAAATTGCAAGGAGGTGACGAGAGGAGGAAGCTGAGTCTCAGGCTGAGTAGTGAGTCGGAGGCCAGAGCCAGCCAGATTTTTCATTATTGCATTTACTCTGCCTACCGGTATAGCTATCCCCTATAATTTACTGGGCCCATATTGGGCCTTTTTTTTTCTTCCTACGATAATGGTAAGGGGATGGGCATGAAATATAGATAAGAGAGTTTTGATCTAATTAAACTTTTTAGAATTGATTTTTTTTAAGAATTCGGATTTAATTCAAGTCGAATCGAGTTTTTTTAAAATAATATTAGATCAGGTCATATTTGAGTCAGACCAAGTATAATTATTCCAAATTTAATTCAAATCGAGTAACAAGTATAATACTCAAATCAAGTTCAGGTGGACAAAAAACTCAACTTGACCCGATACATACTCATATCTAATTATGTTTATCTACAATTTTATATAAAATAAACTATATTAGAGGTCACTAAATGAAAATAATTTTTTTATTTAAAACATTTTATATAATATGAAATGATAGATTTAATTTATTGAACTATTATAAAATAATCTCTTCTACATTATAAATAGTAATAACCTTTTAGATAAACTTCATAACTGTGGATAGGTGGCTGACTAAATAGGCAATTTACCCATTTTTAAATGGATAAGCTTCATAACTGTGGAAAGTAATTAAAGATATTTAAGAAAATTGCCAACACGTGTATGGTACGTTGTTCATGTGCTCTAGTGAAAATCAAAGTGAAGTGAGGGGACAATACAACAGTACGGATTTTTCTTTTGTTGAATTAATGCAGAGGAATTTGATAATGGTGGATTGGAACTATTACAAGGCAAAACCATAAATTTAGTTTTTATATTTCTATTTCATTTTTCTCTTTATTTTTTTAATTTGATTTGATAATTAATAAAATATATAAGTAACGAGAATCAAATGTATAATTATACTAAATTTATTTAACTGTCACTTCAATTTTTTTGTTGTTAAGTGTTAATAATAACTAACTTAATTTATATTCTTTAGATAATTTAATTAACAAAATCAATAGATCAGTGGTCAACTTGAATATGCACCATAATTAAGTAGTTATTTAGGTAGTTTACTCTATACGACGTTAACAAAGGTGATCATAAAGACAATAATACACTTAAAAATATAAAATATCATGGACAAATGAGAACAATTTGACTATAGTTGATAGAATATTATGCGAGATATATTAAACCTTACAGCTATATATATGGTTAAATTACACTAGTGATCTTTTTTGTTTTTGGTTTGTCTTACTATGATTATCGGTTTTAAAAAAATTACATTCTGATCAATTTTATTTTCGATTTGTCTTGTTTTGATTACTGAGTTATTAACTCTCGCTAGTTTCCTAACGTGACATGTTGACTCCTGAATTTTAAACAGAATGCTAACTTAACCCTAATCTTTACATAAAAATATTAATTTAATCTCTAAAATTTAGTTAAAATATCAGTTTGACTCTTGAATTCAATCAAAATCTCCTACTGTCATCTTTCATTTGTCATCTTTCATTTGTCATCTTCATCGGGTATCATCAATTTTTATTGTTGATCATTGTCGATTGTCATCACCGTCAACCGTTAAATCTTAAAATTTTAAGTTTATTTTTTTTCATTTCCTGAATGAAAGTTCAATGTCTATTTCATCTGAAAAATATCTTGAACTCTACAACATGATCTAGTAACCTTCAATATATTTTAAAAATAAACAACAATAATATTTCTTTAAGAATAAAAATACTAAAACTCTAAATCCAAATCATAACACTTTCATGTTATAATGATAATTTATGTAAGTATCCCTATTTTTTTCAGTAATCCAAACAAGAACCAAGGAGTAATTTTTATTGAAATTACTTAATCATTTAAAATATACTATTTTTTTATTTTTACTAATTGTAATATGTTTTATTAATCTATGAAAATACATTATAATGTTTTAAAATTGACTATGAATATTGAATTCATTCACGAGTTAGATGCTGGGTCTCAATCAATGAATATTCATGTGATTAAGATACATTGAAAGTTCAAAGCAAAAAAACAAAAAAAAAAACAACTTTCACTTTCTTAGATTATTTCCATGATATCAACTTGTATCTTACTTTTCCCAAACATTTAATTTTAAAGGCTAATAATAAAAATTTATTAATGGTAAATTACTTGTTTACCTTCCCAACTTTCAGTATGTTTCGGTTTTGGTGATCAAATTACAATGATTTTTAATCTTATCAATAAATTTTTGAATTTTACTTTATTTTAATCATTCACTCATTAATTTTTAACGTGATTCGGAAATTACGAAAAAAACTGCTTTTTATATATATAAATTTATGTAAACTCCTTGAAACTTTTCTTTCGAATCCAAATTTTTGTATTCCTTATAATTTATTGACGCTAAAGAATTTCTTACAAATCCAAATGAGGAATAGATTAAGAAGGAGAAAAAATCAATTCATCTTGAATTTACACTGATCAGACGATAGAGATCACAAACCAGATCGAAATAAGGTAGAATTTTTTATTTCAATTTTTCGATTTTGTGGAAAATCAAATTGAGAAGAAGAAAGAATGAGAAATGAGAAATGCTTTGAAACAATTGCATTGTTTGCGACGATTTTCGATAGTAGAGAATGATATTGATCATGGAAAAGAAGAATGTTAAAAAGTTAGATTAATTCTAGAAATAATGATCCGAAACATAATATTTTGGTGCTTATGTTAAACAATTAACGATGGAGTGGTTTAAATATACGAAATTTTTATAATTGGAAGGGCGAAATAATGTTACTCTAAAAAAATAGAATGAGTAAACATGCAATTAACCCTTTTATAATTTTTTTAATGCATCAACTTGATAACTTGTGAAAAATAATCAAAGATATATACCAAATTTTCCAACGAGTGTATAGAAGGTTGTTTATATTTTCAAATGGTAGACAAGAGACAACAAATTGGATTTTTCTTTTGTTGGTTTCCGTAATTGTTGGATTAATGTCAAGGAATTTGATAATAATGTCTTGATTTTTAATTTCGTCTCTAATACTTTTCCTCGACTCTTTAGCTAAATCGTTGTGTTTTTAATAGGAATATTTGTCATAATAAAGACAAGAATATTAACTGAAAAGAATTTGATAATAAACAAGCGTAGATTAAAAAAATATTATGCAACAATGCATTAAACCTTAAAACTCTCTATATAAAAAGAAAATTACAAGTAAGTATATCTGGCGCTTCATAATAATCCTAATTGAATATATACTTTACACCGTCATAATTTTTTTAGATATCTTAATCAAACGGCTTGTACCGTTTTTTATTCTAAATACGTTCAAAATAAGATGCACTTCATGGGCGACCAAGTGAAGTTTCGTTTGAGTGGACTATAGCAGTCACATCCAGTTCAGTAATTACATTGACTGACCATATCCGACTTGCTGGACAGTATAAGAACTACTAACTTGCCACCAACAACTTGTTGTGTTAAACAATTTGCCACAAACAATGTTTGCATCTCACCGGCCTTTCCTCAGGCTTCCATTGATTGTTTTGGCATTGTTTTTATCATCGGCAGCAGGAGACCCCAAGCCTGGCTGCCAACGGAGCTGTGGGAATCTCTCAATCGATTACCCTTTCGGTATCGGTGAAGGATGTTTCATGCACGGCTTCGAAATAACCTGCAATGCTTCCTACAGTCTACCCAAGCCATTCCTACACTTCGGAGCTACCCAAGCCAGGTTCGTGTAAGGAACACCGTGTTCAGTGGCACAGGGTTCCATAGAAACGGAACTCCAGTTTCCAGTGTAGCCAGCATCATTTTGACAGATACACCGTTCGTTCTCAACAACACTGCAAACAAGTTCACCGTCATAGGCTGCAACTCCCTCGGTTTATTATACCCTCAAGATGTGAATATCACGACCGGCTGCTTATCCGTGTGCAACGACAAGCGTCGGGATGTTACCAGTGGGCATTGCTCGGGGCTCGGCTGCTGTCAGGACTCCATTCCTGAGGGTACTAGAACGATTCACGTAGAAATTATTGAGAACCTTCTCGACGATTCCAAGATAAAGGATCTATACAATGTCTCCACGCCTCACACTTGTGGATATGCTTTCGTGGTGGAACAAGAGAGCTACAGGTTCGAGGCATCGGATCTCGATCGTTGTTCCTCGTCGAAGATCGAGAGTTCCTCATTGGTTCTTGATTGGGTTATAGGCAATGAGACTTGTGAAGCAGCTGGAACAAGTTGCAAAGGAATGAACAGCGACTGTGTTGGATTTGGATATGGATCAGGTAGTACGAGTCGAGGTTATCGTTGCAGATGCAAAGATGGTTATGTCGGGAACCCTTATCTCAGCTCAGGATGCCCAGGTCTGTAAATCTTTGCTTAAAACTCTAACGTTAGTAGCACTCAAAGCATTCTCTAAAAGATCATGAAAGTAAGGTTTTGTCTTTGATTTTCTGAGGGTAAACTACATGAGATGCAGTAAACTTTAACTGGTGTATCACTTATACCACTTAATTTTCAATTGCTTCAATTATAGTAAACTTTAGTTTTAACTTCAATTATACTATTGAGCTGTTAAAATTCAAACAGTGTGATGATATGAACAAATCGACATCGTTTTCGAGTAACTATTAATGGGGGTGTATCTAAACCTTTAAATAATTTATTTTTGATTTTGCATTTTTCTGGTCATCGTTGTTAGCCGATCGAGGCTCGTCAACTATAATCTTTCGGAGTAAGATCAATATCAAGACATTCGTATTTCACTGATATTTTTTCTCGTAAGATTGATTTTCTTCAAAACTCACTCAAAATATATATCATTTTTAGGGGTTTCTTATATTTGAGGGTTTGTTCGAAAATTCGAATTGTGAGAAACATTATTTTGAGACGATGAACAACATATCTCAAAACTAGCCTCATCAGATGGCCAACAGAGGAGACCGAAGTATTAGCACGTCAAATCTTTGGATGAATTTTCAATGATTTGGAGTGGATTTCGTGAAAAATCAATTCTAAGAGAAGAAAGGGATGTGAATGTTCTAATATAGATCTTGTCGTGAAAGCCGACCGGTGACAAGTGACGATTGGTAACCGAAAAAGTTTAGTACCAAAGAACTGGACCCTTTTAAAATTTAATGACAAAACCGTTACATCTCTAAAGTCTAGGGTTTAAAACAATATCGTTTTATGCATAAATAATCATATTAAAATGATATCGTTTTATCCATATGGTGTCATCAGAGTTATAATTGAAACAATTCATAATAAAAAACCAGAAGTATCTCTAGTGTTTTTTATAACAGTGTCAAGTTTGATATTTTATGCTGCGTGTTAATCATTTTGATGATGTGACACTTGGGCATCACTAATCTTTTTTGCCATGTAACAAATTGTTTACTATCAACTAACAGAGTTTTGAATATGGATTGTTGAAGACAAAGATGTGGATGGCCAGAGTCATCGTCAAGGCAACGGTACTTGCAGTAATTCATTCGGTAGCTATAGTTGCAGCTTTCCACTGCCAGTTGTTCTAGGTAAACTGATATAATGATTCAGACGGTAAAATAATTATTTACACGACCTAACAAACAAATTCCAATACGTGTCAGTTTTCGGGTGTCTCTTGTTCGTGATTCTGCTAGCCCCATCTGTATACATGTGCACAAAGAGACGAGAATTAATGAACCTCAAACAAAAATACTTCCGACAAAATGGAGGTTTCTTGTTGATACAGCAAATTGCTTTCCATGAAGGTTCTGGAGAACCCACTAAAATCTTTACTACACAAGAGTTAGCAGAGGCCACTGATGATTACGCAGAGAGTCGAGTAGTTGGTCGAGGAGGCAGTGGAACAGTTTACAAAGGAACCCTATGCAACAGTCGGGTCATTGCCGTAAAGAAGTCGAGAATGGTCGACAGGAATCGTATCAATGAGTTCATCAATGAGGTGGTTGTGCTCACTCAAATCAATCACCGGAATGTCGTTAAGCTCTTGGGATGTTGTTTGGAAACCGAGGTTCCGCTACTGGTTTATGAATATGTTCCTAATGAGAGCCTTCACTACCATATTCATAATCCCAGCAGGAGAGGGTTGATCCCGTGGGAAGATCGATTACGGATAGCCACCGGAACCGCAAGTGCTCTTGCTTATCTCCACTCTGCAGTCGTGGTTCCCATCATTCACCGTGATATCAAATCTTCCAACATATTATTGGAGGACAATTACACCGCCAAAGTTGCGGATTTCGGAGCTTCGAGGTTGATTCCTGCCGACCAGTCTCAAATTACAACGCTGGTTAAAGGAACCCTCGGGTACTTGGATCCAGAATACTTCCAAACAAACCGACTGACAGAAAAGAGCGATGTCTACAGCTTCGGGGTGGTGCTAGCGGAACTATTAACAGGGCAGTTACCGGTGTCATCTCAAAGACCTGAAGCCCAAAATAACTTATCTTCTTACTTCATTCAAGCAATGCAACAGGGTCGTCTTGTCCAAATCCTGGAGCCCAGACTTGCAAATGAGAGGAACATAGAACAACTTGAAGCCATTGCAGATCTTGCAATGAGATGTCTCCGGTTGAAGGGCGAAGAACGGCCTACAATGAAAGAAGTGGTGTTAGAGCTAGCCGGGTCAAGACGGATTTACAAACATCCTTGGCATCAAGTTAACCGTGAGGAGACTCGCTTCTTGCTCGATGAAAAACGGGACATACTCAGAGCTGAGAGTTCATCGGTAGTGAATCTTTATAGCGACATATCATTTGAGCAGTATAGCATTAACAGTTGTGGAACATTTTCAATGGATTTGCCTCGATAAACCACCAGTTTCCCATTCAACCGACCAGTCTGGTCTGATTCGAAAAACAATGGTCTGTAATTTACTATAATTTCCAATAGATTGTTTTCAGACTACCCTAAAGTTGATCAATTACCAACTAATAATCATTCAACAAAAGCAAATTTATATTGGCAAATGCAATGAAACGAGTTATAAGCTCAATATAGGCTTTCCCCTCAAGAATATAAATGTTTTCAACAATCTTCCCCAACAAAAACAAAAGTAACATCTCTATAATCCATATCAAATAATGGACACATAAGAGCAGCCTCATTCCGTTTGCTTCAAAACCTCGACAAATGCATCTTTGAGGAATGGATTTGAAGCAGCCACTTTTGGAACCGTGATTTCGAAATCTTTACCGAACCTGACCCAAAAACAAAAGCCACAACCGGTTAACATCAAGTTTAAACTTTCAGTTTAGATTCCGAAATGAAATACAAAGATATGCTTGGTTAAACGTGTTAGCATCTTACGGATCATAAACAAGGCCTCCAGCTTCTTTAACAATTAAAACACCAGCCGCTACATCCCTGAACAAAGAGGCAGACACTATCAATTATTTACCGAACCCTGACCTTCATCAAACATTGAAATGATTAAAAGCATACCATGGGCCACCATATCCAAGTTCGTAAAACAGGTCAAGCCTTCCACATGCGATTCCACAAAGGTTCAATGCACAGGAACCGCTCATCCGAAGTGATCTCACCTTTTAATCAAAGAAAACCGTTTTGTATTTCAAGTTTGCAAAATATAGTAACAAAAGAAGGAAAAAAACACTAGTTTCATGTCACCTTGAAAAGTAATTTATTGATTCGATTTGTAGTAGTATCCACCGTTAACACATCACGTTTTGTTCCAACCTGCTCACCAGGAAAAATTTAGCCAAGCTTTTACATGCTAACAAAGTGCTCCTATCTTTTCTTTTCTTTTTTGATTAAGTGCTCCTATCTTAATTGTGTCGAATATTATCATGTTACTGCTAGCTGGTTGTTAGCTGATAATAGTCCCATACTATTATCAGCTAACAACCAGCCAGCAGTAAGCAGTAACATGATAATATTTTCTAAAACGGGATTAAAAGTTGGAGCCAAACATTATCAAGTTCAGTTACACCCAACAATGGGAAAAAAGAATAAAAGGAAATTTCAGATCATAAGAAGCTCCACACCTCTGTTGCAAGTAGAGACTTAATGAGTTCGGTTTGTGATGACACTGCAAAATCTCAGAGCAGAAGAACAAATCTTTAAGAGATTTCTGTTAGAAGTTTTCGGACCTAAATATAGTAATCATTGAGAATTAGATTCACCTCTTATAGGGGTCCCATTGAGAAAAGCGCCTTTTCCAAGTACAGCAGTAAAGAGCTGCATGCCATAAACCCGGTAACATTCGTTTAACTTGTGATAAAGAAAGACAAAACTCTAGATTTAAGCAAGATTTAAACGCCTCAAGGGCAATTCCACCTCATTCATTATTGGATTGTAAACAACACCAACCGTAGGAACTTTCCCAACAGTAAGACCAATGGATATGCACACAAACGGAAACCTACATAATTGCAAACGGTCAATATGAAAATGACCGAACACGAACACCCAAGTCTCGAATATAAGGCAAGTCAAAGAAAAGGCATTACCCGTGCACAAAATTAGTTGTTCCATCAAGAGGATCAACTATCCAAGTAGGCTCATCAGTCAGCTCTGATGTACCACAAGCAGCAGTGGTTTCTTCCCCAATGAACTAAAACAAACAGCATTTACAGCCGTATCAAGAAAAAGGTTACCTTCCGAGAACACTCGCATTTGAATCTTGATAGATACACGGTAGAGAATTAGACAAAGAAAAATCGCTAACCTTATGAGAGGGGTAATGCTGCTTGAGATGATTAAAAACAAGGTCCTCACATGCCTTATCAGTCTCTGTGACCAAATCCACCTGGATTTAGATCAAATAAGCAACTTTTAAGTAGCCATTTTCATTTCCAAATAGGAAAGTAGCGGTATCTACAATTTCAAAGATAGAATCACAACCAACTTGATATGTACTGAAAAATCCACCCAAGAACATCTAACAAGATTAGACAACACAGCTTCATCAGCTACTCTAACACTAATAAATGAGGGCATTGGTTTAACCATAATAATCAATCAACATTAATGATGTTAAATACCCTTATCAGCATATATGTATTTCATAGTAAGCTAACCAGAAATGGACACAAAAATAAAGAATTAGAGAGAAAATAAAAGAAAAACCTGGCCTTTATGTTCCACATTCTTGGACTGGTAAAACCCTTTACGGATTATCTTTAAAAACATCAAATAAAAAAGGTGAGAGAAAAGAAGTGAACAAATCGATGAAGTAAATTGCGCAAGAAGAAGAAAATGAAAATGGTATTTTTTTAAATGAACCTCGCCGGCTTTCTTAGCTGCATCGACTGCGGTGACCAAGAACTCTTCATGGGAACCTGAAATCCATAGAATTTACGAAAGAGAAAGGAATATGAACAAGAAATCGAAATCCTAGAAAGAGAAATATAGATAAGATAAAGAAAAAATTGAGAAAAGCGAATTAATCAAGTTGCTACCATTGTCAGCCATGTTACAATGTTTGGTTACAGAGAATTTAAGAAATGTTGATTGATGTTGGATTTGTGGGTGTTTTGGAAATTGGTTTGGAGAGATTTTCAGATATGAAGAACAAGAAGCAGCAGCAGAGGTATCAAACAAAAGGAGACTCGTGTGTTGGTTTTATACAATTTACTGGAAATAAAATGCCCTTTATTTCTTCACGTTATTCTGTGATTAATAGCTGTGCTAGATTTAGTTATTGCTTTAATTTGATTGTTTTAAGTTTTAGTATTTTAATTAAAAATATATATAAATTAGAATATAAATATCAATTTACAGCTTTATATATATAACAGGGACTAATAACAGAATTAGACCTATCACTTATCCTGTGATGAAACTGTAGCCGCTGTTGCAAGCTCAAAGGAGATTCATGGAATGCGGCCGCCAATGTGCCAACTACCCATTTATCTTATCTGAGTTGTAAGCTACATGAAACGAAACGGGCCATCGACTGAAACTTCCTTCCTTACTTCCTAGTTCCTACAACTTGTCCCTTCTAAAGCCTATCAAATAATGGCATGCATACTTTATACGTAAACTTCATTATGATACGTTAATATCCATCTGTTCGGTTTATAGTAACATCCACCGTTCACTGATTCATTCTCTACTTATTACTGGTTCAATCCATCTATATGTTCGATTCTGCTTTTATTAGCATTAGTGTTAGATGTAGTAGTATACGTTTTTTTAATGATCTATTCATTATCAATACATCAAATGTGTTTCCCGTTTTGCAATATTGCCTTATGTTTGAACTTTAAACAATATTTATGATTTTATTTAATCATAACTAGCAATTAGAGACAGCTATAAACAATCATACCTGGAAGTACAGCCAAATTTGGATGAGCACATAACAAATAACAACTAGAAAATGTATTAGGAATCACGAATGCATAGCTGAATCGATCGAAGTATCTCGATTGATTTAATTCATTTTATTCCCATACATCAACATTATGTCATATCCACCCTACCTATCCGTGTTTTTTGTCCGCCAACGTTAATGTCAGCAGTCATCCCCACACACTGCATATTATAGATAATAAGATTCGATGAAAGAGGAAACGTAACGAAACAGAAATGAAGAGCATTCTCTTTTTACATATTACATGCCCTTCCCGAAAGTACCATGAGTTTACGGTTACGAGATCACTATTCGATTCAGAGTATACAAGAGCTCACTCTGGCCGGTCTCTAAGCTCAAGGGAAGCGATTTCTTTCACAACTTGACCCTTGTCTGCCTCAAACTGTTCATCCTCTGCATGACATGATAATCCATCAACACTCCAAACTATAAATAACAAGTGTCGACCCTAAATTTATTTCAAGCAAAAATAATGTTCCATGTGTTTCTTATTCGCACCTTTGTTGGTCTTGAAATCCGCAAACAAACGTAGAAGTTTGCTTTTATTTGCAACCAGTATGCTAACAATGTCTGGAGGCTTGTTCTGGTTCGCAGCAAACAACTGTCGAGACATACACAAAAGGATATTGTAAGCAACTTAATGTATAAAGTTACTAAGTGTGCCCCGGAGGAGAAGAAATTTAGCACCAGACCTTGAAAACATGAAAAGCTTCTATTTGGATGCTCTTGCTTGATTCCTGCATATACATGACTTCACCGTTTAGTACTTTAAGATTGTAATTGATCTTTAATACTTGAACAGGGAAAATCTTAGAGTTGAAGCTACTTGCATGATCATATATTTGTTAATATATGCTGCACATTTTTTACAACAGTAGATAGCAACTCATTTTGAGAGCTATTTCATGTAGTAGTATAATAGAATAACATCCAACACATCAGACTCTCAGAAAATTTGATCATTCCATAGTAACGAGGGATAAAGAAAAACGAAAGCAAGACAGAGAAGTTTCATACCCTTAGAAGATTCATGAGAATCCTCAAATTATCCCTTGAGCTCACGTATCTGGTCATGACAGCAGAATTTGACCGGTCCAACAAAATATCTCCTAACAACTGTGGCATTAAGAAGAGGAAATATAAAATATGACAGGTCTCCTTGGCAAAGAAATTACAACTGCAATTGCTACTACCATATCTTATTTAGTAAACTTCAGAAGTAAAAAAAGCCATCATACTACCATGATTTCGACATTTAAAATAGGAACTTCAATTTGATTGAGTTATCAAATCTAGAGCAGCACTTTTGGTCATTCCTCTGTTAGAAAACTATTGATGTTTCGAATCCCAGAATGGGGGTACCACAATTATTCCACTATTCAAACTTAATAGAACTTAAACTTTCAGTTCGAATCAGCAAATGAACCCTTTGGCAATACTGATGTGAAGTCAAGCATGTTTGGAAGCACCAAGCTTTTGTTTTGATTGGGGGGAAATTACAATAATATTCTTTTGCTTTTTAATTTTTGAAAGGGTCGCACCTTGATAGCTTGTCTTCTCGTAATGTAGTTGCTAGATTCCAGCAACTTTGAGTTATACTCAGCAAAGAACTGAAACAACAAACATGGCTGAGTTCATTGAGCTCCAATAAATAAAAACTTTCAACATAAAGAAGGCATGGAGATGAAATTCAGAAAATTCTATTGTAGCTATCTTTAGCATCATTACAAATTACAACCTTGTGGTTGAAAACATATAGTCAAACATGGAAGAGAATAACGTGCTTCTAATGGAACAATTTACAAGCTGACAGTAACGGGGAGAGAGAGGGAAAAGAGTACCAATAATTATGAGTTGACATGATTGTTCAAGTATAAAATAACAAATTCATAATTTAAAGGACAACGGTACTGGAGGAACAACACTTACCCAATCATAGTTCCTAGAAAGAAACTCAGCCACAGTGGACTTATGCCTTGTCAAGAGCTCCTGCAAGAAAACAGGATGTTACATGACATAAGAACTTTACACATTATTTTAAAATCATGAAGAAAGAAGGGAGGAAGACGGGTAAGTTCACGACATTATGAATCAACGTCAAACATCTTGATGTACTGAAATTGAAAAGGCCTCCGTTTCAACAAAATATAAGATTGAAAAGCAAATCAGATCCCTACTTCAAAACAGGATTCAATGGCAAATGCAGATTCAGAAGTGCAACAAGAAGATACAGACATAAACTGAGAGAAGAAAGAAAGATTATTTTAACATATAATTAGATCTTCAGTTATCAACCTTAAAAGTTGCAGCAGCATCAACAGCAATATCGAAATTTGGAAGTTGTATATAGTCAAAAAAATTCTTCATGTGCTGTGACTCCAAAACATATCTGCAAATGATGACAAAATGTGCCACATTCAGCTATTAGTCTATTAGAAAATCTTCCATTAATTTGATTTTTTTTTACTAAAAAATTTTGGAGATGAGTCTCCCAAATAAAAAAATGTAAAGGAAAAGGAAAAGCTTTAAAATGTAATTAAAGGACAAGATTGCCTCTTGAGTACAAACATTTTGAAAACATTGGCGGATTAGATAGAGGAATTAGAAATGACTTGGGGCATCATTGTATTCATTAAAAGGTTAAGAAGCCAAGTCATTAAGGTATGAATTGATATGCTAACCTTGCAACAGTCTGATGCCGTATGCATTCTCTCAACATTGCACCATAATGCAAAGCCATGTCTGTGTTTTCATAACTGAAAATACAACACTTAAGACTTAGAAGACAGTGATAAAATAATAGATACAAAATAACGCTCAATTTGACAGCATAACCGAAAGGTTGCATTATTAGGTATCATATATAACTTAGAATTCTAGCTTCATTATAAACTAGGCAAATGTTTGGAACACATTTGATTTGGTTAATAAGTAGAATCCATTAACAGAAGTGCCTCCTAATTTGCTTTTGCTTAATTAGAGAATAAAACAGAATACTGAAAACCATCACTAACTCATAATCTTAGCTCTAGCATTATGTTGATGAAACTCAACAACAAAGAGATAAAGATACAAGGGGCTAATAAAGTCGTATTGAACTCTTTAACACCGTCAAGAAAAACTTTTTTTAAAAAAGTAACAGAAGATCTTAACATCTGAAAACCTTTTCAGATTGCCACTTACCCTGCTATTAAAACATCCATGAGATCAATGTTCGCCTCCAAGTAATCAGAAGCAATCAACCGTGAATTCACTTGTTGCCTTTGCAAATTTGCAACAACTTGTGTTGCATCTTTCCTCGCCTGCAAAAAGGATATTCCTCTCGAATTATCAAAGTTCAAAGAATCAACAATTAAAATAAGCTCACAACAGTGCTGCAATAATAACTCATGCTACAGTAAATTTGGATATCTAAACCAAATCATAGTAAATCGGTATTACCTCTAAGTTCAGTTTAGGAAGACAAGTGATCAACAGTCGTAGCGTGTTCTCTCTGAAGAACTCTTGAGTCAGTTGTTGACAAGCTTCTGAGAATGGCTCGGATTCACTATTTCCATAAAGAATACACTTTAACTCCCTTATATGTTTAAATAGGTCATCCATCTGCATCAGAATTACCACCAATTTTAAGTATTGGATACTGAATTTTCATGCTCCTTTCATTAAATAAAAAATAGCTGCTCAAATTCTGGAAAAAGTTATCGCTAAAAATTTAGTTCTCCCTAGTAACTAACTAAAATCAAATGCTCACGCCAACCGAATTAAGGAATAATTAATGTGCTATTCGTGAAGGAGTATCAGTAAACGCACCTTCTCTTCCCGCTTACCATCACGACTGTCGGCGGAGCGGCCGATATAGATGAGGAGATTTCGCGTTTGCCGCACGATATCAACGGGAGTTCGCGGCTTGGATCTGAAGAGTCCTTTCATCTCAGCTCAATGACTTGTTGAGGTTTCCAGTAGCATCGCCGGTTACCACAGTTTCCACTCGCCGTACCGCTCGATTCTGCAAACAAAGTCCAATTTTTTTTCAAAAAAATCTCTCGCAAATTCTAATATCTTTATTTTAGGATACTATTTACCATATCATCCAATGGTTTAACTAAGCTTTGGGATTTTCTTTCAATATGAGTCACCAGCCGTTGGTTGTTGGTGTGCTTTTTCTTAGGGTAAACTATGCATTTAGCTCTTAAATTATCAGTTTTGTTTAATTTTTAGTATTTAAACTTTCAAAAAATTTAAAATATTACTTAAAATTTAATTTTTATTTTATTTTAGTACTTTATTTTTTGTTTTGAAAAAAATGAAAGTCTAGGTATCAAAACATGTTTAATATCTAAATTATACTTAAGTTTTGAAAAAAATTAAAAATTTAGATACTAAAACTATCAAAATTGATATTTTAGGCACTAAACATGTTAAGTTTTTAATGATGATGTATTAAAATGAAACAAAAAATAAACTTTAAGTATGATTTTAAAAATGAAAAGTTTAGGTACTAAAATGGATCAAAACTGATAGTTTAGGTGTTAAATTCATAATTTACCCATTTTTATGTACTGGCTTTGCCTAGACTAGATTTGGTTAGGTTCGGATGAGATATAGTTTCGTGCGGACTGACGTAGTATAAGACGACATCACGTTTCCGTTAAAGCCTACTATACACGGACACGTGGAAATTTATAATAGTTGAATTGAGGGAGTATTTTTGATTTGACTCCGGCACTTTATTCCTTGAAATCGAATTGGACGATGGAGACTCGATACTCGTAAATTATTTCACTAAAAAAAAGTTATGGATAAAGTAGGTCAAAATTTAAATAATTGTTTTATTTATTAAATTTTTAAAATTTATAAAACAACCATTATATTTTTATATATTTTTATTTTACCATTTTTACTTTTTTTATATTGATCACGAATACTTTCATTTTGTCATGCTTAACAGAATCATATACACAACAAACTAAGATTTTATTACTCTCTAATCGCTGTAACGCCAACATTTTATTTTCAACATTATTAATCAAATTAACCTTGGTCAGGTTCAAAGTAGGCAAGCTTCTTGTAACCTTCCCATGCCTTCTCGTACACGATAGCACGGTATAGGTTGGTTGCAATTCCGTCCGTGGCCTTCAACAGAAGCCGATAATTCATCCCAGAAACCACTTGAGTCGCGCCTCTCACCACCGCCACGAACTCCAAACTTATTTTCGACCGCATGTTCTTTTCGTTGACGGCGAATTTTGAGATCTGGATCACATGCGGCCATGCGGGTCGTTGACGTTCTTTATGGGAGTCCATCCGACCGACGGATATTTTTCGTCATCGGCCCGGATAAGAGGAAGGGAAATGAGACACAACAAGAGGATAACGAAATGTCGAAATTGCTGCATGGCGTTGTTGTTGTTGTAGTTGAAGTATGTTATTTAGGTGTTGGGATTTTATAATTAGAATGGATTCGGAATTTATTAGTGAATCATCAGTAATCAAGTCTGGATTTGATGTAAGGTACGAGGAAAACGAGCATATATGCGTTAGAAATAGAATAGATTTTATTTGTACAATCTTATATGAAGTCCTTAAATTTGACAATTTATTAAACTTGGTCTCTCAACTGATTTTCTCGTCTACATTAGTCCTTGAATTTAATAGTTCTTTCTATTTGTTGCACGTGTTACAATTCAGGATCATTTTCATGATCAAGGACTCAAGATAACAATCAAAATGTAAAAAAGAATTATACAACTTTAAAACCAATTTATTTGATGTGGCAAAAAAATGAGAACTGATCGGGCTAGCCGGTCGGTCGGCAGGCCGACCAAAGATTCAACATAAAATTACTGAGAGCAAAAGAATAGGAAGCTGGAAATTCTGTTCTTGCTTCTCGTTGAACTGGAATACAAACCAAAGCCCACCTTGTTTAAGATGTTTCATCTTTTACAGTTCAGTGAGCTCGTAAGATGAAAACTTCGATCGAACCACCCACTTTGGACAGTTGTTTATCACGCTCCTATGTTCAGCTGACAAGTTTTTTCAACACTGCTTCAGCCCGATGCTCGAATTTAGGGAGTGCCCATTCATGTTGGACAATTCAAGACCATCTTTCTCAGTACTCAAGCTCTGCCATGAATGAAGAAAATCAAAGGATTAGGAGGCATGCTAGGTTAAGAAATGGAAATAGCCAACTCAAATGAATATTTGCTAGTAAAAACTGAGAACAAGCAAAGTTTGATTCACTGGAAACTCTTCTCAAGACGCTTTACAAATATCAACCAACTAAAACGACAATGCCTTCCATGATGTTACAATCACCAAAATAGCAGTTGAGTTGATCTTTCATCTAACTAAAAGTTCCATGCAATTCTTATCATTTTGTAATTGATTTGACCTGATACAAAAGCAAAAGGCAAGGTGAGGGTGAGGAAAGTCATCAGCTGAAATCCTAATCCCAAGGATTCTCGAAAGGTAAATATCATGACGCCAAAAGCATGGGAGGTTTCTAAGTTAGGGAGAAATGGGCACAATTTGCAAAGAGAGAATAAACTTGGATATGATGAAGAGACACCGGAACAGACATGGATATGAGTCTGGCAGCCCAAGTTTCATGGACATTAGAACAAAAAGATTGTGGCAGCACAATAGTGACTAGTGGTGCTGCAGGTGGCAGTATTGGTCTATTGCTGTGGGAACTAAGAGCCTATTTTCCCATCTGAATTTTTTTCTAATTGACAAGCTATCATTGCTGCCAATATAAAATTATAAACAAACAACCGGCAACACAAGCTAATTAATGATCTCTGGTAAAGAGATAAAGAATGGGCTGGGGAGGAATACAAGACCATGTGAAATTAAATTAGATATCTGAAGCTTGCAAGACTTCTTCAGCCTGCAACACTCGATGGAGATCAAATTGACTTAATACCTTTGATGGATCAAAGCCAAACCCACTCATCTGCATCATTCGCTGTGTATCATCTGTTGCTGCCAAAAGAAATCACAATTTACAGATGAAACCCTACAGATAGATAACGAATCCAATAACCAGAGGAAGTGCAGAACATATTAAAAAAATAAAACTACGTGATAGGAAGTTCACATATCTCACATAAAACTACGAATCCGATACTAACCATTTTCCTCTCCCAAAATCAGACTAAATAAACCCCTCAAACCAAACAAATTGAGGAAATACCTGGAAGTGAAAGAGTTTGTGAATAAATGGTAGTATCAAGCGAAGAAAGCGTCTAAAAAAAGAATAGCCTGGAGAAGAAGAAAATATACCATGAGCGGCTACTGACATAGCTCACATCAACTGCGCTAAGGTCAATTCCATTCTGCAACATTGATCTGAACCTCTGAGTTAATGGGAAAGGTATTTTGGCTGCAAGATAGGAATACAGAAAAATAAAAGAGGAATCACATTACTGTTTAATAATGGTGTATGACAGGATCAGTTAAGTTAGAATTTTGATTCCAATACAACAAAAGATTGTGTCCATCACCATGTCATAAAGAATGAAAATAAAACAAATCCAATGTAATAGGAAACAGTTAACTTTAGCAAATTCTACAGATATATGAAACCAATTTGTAAATAGAAACGTAAATTCAATCTTGAGTGTAGAACTAAAAGGAAAAATACTCGGAAATATTGGTAGTAAAAAGGTAGTAAAGAACCAAACCTGCAGGCTTCAACAAATCCAGAGAAGAAAAGTTGACCCAGGCAAAAGTGAGTCTGACAATAACAGTGTACACAAAAAAAAAAGTCAATACTAGAACATGAGCCATCAAACCAAAGCATATGAGCACTAAAGGTCTAAGCATCATAAAAATACCTGAGGTACAATCATAGACAGGTTTTTCTTCATCATGTCCATAGCCATGTTAGGGTCAGAGAACATTTGAGCTTGCGCATTTTGAGCCTGGCCCTTGGGGACAAACAGTAATCCATTTTCCTACAAACTCCAGAATAAATTCCATTAATTTCCTTCTTTTCTGAGACAAATACATACATAAATGGATCATTTTCATTATTTTAACAAAACTTTTAACAATCCATGGCGACAACAGCACTTATTGAGACAACAAATGGGCAATGCATCAGCCAGGCCGGTTTGCCTATCTAAATCAATCGTAGATCCACACCCATAATACTCATTAACTTAGTAACAAACATATCACTTTGATCTATCAATTAAATATTGTTTGAAACAAATTATTTAAGAGTTCCATAAATTTTATTTTTTGGTTGATACAGGTAAAAAGGCTGCCTAGTGCCCGTTCTATCAGCAATTAAAAACTTCTCAGCTTCCTTAGGGAAATTTTGCAGCACGATTGTGTCCTCGTGATACTTCCATATCTATTGGTGACAAAATCCGTAACTCGATTGGCTTCTCTAGGTATGTGCTTTAATTCAACCATCCAATTTTTCTTTAAAAATTTCTCTATGTGGGTTAATCGAATCAAATTAAGAGTGTTAGATAACACCAATCTACTACAAAATAACATAAATTACTATTAAACTAAGCGGGTTAATCAAATCAAATTAAGTGTTGGATAACACCGATCTACTATAAAATAACAATAAACTGTTATTATGCCCAGTTACATCGTTATTTCACTTAATATTTAACGATTAATGACTGTTTGTAATATTGGTTTAATTTAATATTAAATTATAACTTTTAGAGGAAAAAGTAACCTATTTGTAATCAGACTAATAATTGAGTGACCTGAGATGTATTACCCTTACATAAATCCCAGGTTATCCCGGGCCGAGAAGATGGAACTCAACACCAAGTAACACAACCACCCGAGTGTTTGTTTCAATAACCAGCTACAAAATAAAAATCATATTTTGCCCTTGCTAGTTCTTGATAAAAAAATAGGTTCAAAAATAATACTCAACATGTAAAAACTGCACAAAATGACCATTGATCCTATGAAACAAGCTTTAAAAAGCCCCTTTAAAGCGAAGGTAAACACAATACTTTTGTTCACATAGAAGGGAATATCACCAATAGAAGTAATTTTTTTTTTGGAGTAGCGGGGGGGCCACTTGCACTTCATTCATAGGGATTCCTAAAATTCTTCAAGAGCTCTGGAATTTCATATCCTAGCATATCGTCAACAGCTTGTATCATCTTAGGTTTCAGTTTTTCAAATTTATCGATGCTGTAATTATTCAACACTTCCCTATAGTGCTCAACGCTTGGGAAATCACCTGCCTGTAAATGGTACTCTCGTTGAACCTGTTTCAACATAGTCATGGAAAGCAATCCTTAATTTCCATTTGATTCGGTTAAAAAAATCCGAAATAAGTGACTAACAGACCAATTCTCGAAAGTCTGTTAAAACAGTTGGTTTGGTTTTAGAATTCAATAATCGAGAAAGGATCAAATAGATGCAATACCTTCGCAAATTCATCTTGAAGATTATCAATAAGCCGTTGTTGAGCTTTAGCTTTGCCCATCATACTAGGCATCTCCTTCTTGAGATGGCTAATTATATAAGCATTGATTTTTGCTGCTCTAGCACGCTTCACAAATTCATTGATCTGACATCATAAGCACACGGATTAACTAAACACACAAGGATATGATACAAAATATGTGATAGCTAAACATGCATACATATTGTCAAACGAATGTATCGGCAATGTAAAAACAAAAGAGAGTATAAACATACCCGACGATCACAAGCCTTTCGCGGAATGTCTAACAAGTCCTTGAGAAGATCGTCTTGTTCTTTCTCGAAAAGGTCTTGCCCCAATTGATCGATACCAGCCTCGTTATTGTGCTTATCATTGAAAGAGCTACAAAGAGAAATCAACATCATCCAAAGTTGTTCAGTGTAAAAACATTTTCCGGGAAAATAAACTTACCCAATGTAAACACGGACAACCTCGGGAGTATTCAGAACTTTTCCAAGAGACCACATCAAAGCTCCATAAACTCTCATCAGCTAAAAAGATTACATTGATAAGTTATAATGGTGATGTATCAAATTTTGTTATTACAAAAGTATACATTTAAAAAGATAGAAGAGAGAATCATACTTGCTGAGTATCAACTTGGTGTGCTTTATTTAGAACAACACGGATCTTGTCATCGTTACCACGCAAACATGAAATTACTCGTTTAAATTCATCGCTTATATCTAACTTGTGAGGGTCAAATAGAAGAAGAATAAGATCACATTTAGCTGCAAACCACGATATAACACCAGTGAAATCGTAACTTCGTTGTGTTCTCTGTTTTTCTCCAGATAGAACACCAGGAGTGTCCACAAATGTTATCTGATCCAACAACTGCAACAATAATAATAAATCGGTGAAAAATCCTGGTATATTAATTGATACCGAAAACAGATAAAGTAAAATCAATAATTCTCACTGGATGAGGCATTTGAGAGCACTCAAATTTTGATAAAAAGGCTCCTCCAAAAGTGGTCAATCCACCATATGGCAGATCTGCTTGAACAGCAATAGTGTTGCCGGGTATACTCCTTTCATCAGGTCCAGACTGAGAGTAATAGAACATGAAATCAAATGTGTTATAAGAAACAATGCAAATCCTTATTTCCATCCATGTGAATGTTACCACTTGGTGTAAGAAAATAAACGAAGAATCCATATAATTCACTTTCAGAACCAGAAAGTTCAGACACGGTTTTACATACCATTACAACAACAAATCTATCAGTTGTAGGCTCAGGTCCTATATGAGCTCCTGTCAATAGAGTGATGATGGAAAGCTCAGTACACATGATAATGAACTTATCATAGGAAAGAAGAATTTAGTATAAATGCTTTTAGCTTACCTGGGTAATCACATTGTAACAAATGTTTTATAAATGTAGTTTTCCCGGTTGAATATTGACCCAACAGCATAACCATAGGTTTAGCATCAAAGTCGCTGTTTGTCTGCATTTAGAAAATCACTGGTAAATACACTGAATTAACTAAAGCGTTTGTGTCAAACAGTACATGACATTCCACAAGGGGAGCCTTGTATCTGTTTCTGCAGGGAGTGCAGAGAGAGCATTCAGTTCAAGTTTGCACAGTTTTCTATTTGGTTTATAACTTAAAGCACAGTGCACTTACCAAAGACGGAGACACAAAATCATTAAATCGATAGGTAGCTTCTAATGGCTTTAGCTTTTCAATATACAATCTCTTCAAGCCATCAACAATTGAGGTAACAGCACTTGCAGGTATCTGAGCAACAAATAGAGAAAACAAGCCAATCAATGCAACAATCCATATGAAGTCATCCTTACAAACGGATACAACTTAAATATTTGTATAGCACGTGAACATAGTTAAAAACACATCCTCATTGAGAGATTAATAAAATGTATACATAACATATATCAGATGATAACTGAACTTAACAAGCCTTAATAAAAATAAATCAAGAGAATTCATAAATGCAAAAAAGAAGATATAAAAGACACATTCGTTAACAAAGGTTAGCCACAAATATTAAAAAAGATGTAATGAAGCATTAGCAAACGAATAGACTACAAAGTTAAAACAAGCTACAACAATAGCAAAAAGAAATTTTGAAACAACCTTTTTTGAAGGCTTTGAGGTAAACCATTTAGCAGATGTTAGACCTTGGGGCTGACTAGATCCTGCATCATTAGCAATAAACAAATTCATTAGAACCCAATTAAACAACTTGGTTAGAAAACACTTAAGGATAGGTAGCATCTAACCATTCATTCCATGCGCACCATTTGTGGTCAAATCCTTTTTCTTCTGAGAGAGGAGCAAGAAAAAATAGTTTTAAAAACAAAGAAATTAGCACAAGCATGGGAAAGGAAGAAATAAGACATTTTAACTCCAGCAATTAAAGTGGGAAAGCAAGAAACAAAATCCCTTACCGTTGCTAAGGCATCCACACCTTCTATTAAAGGAAGACTAATATGCTCTAAGCCAGCTAGAATAAACAAAAGAACCATCAATATAAACTAAACAACAAGAATATGAACCACTAGAGAGTCATGCACTCATTGATACTAAAGCATGAGAAAATAGCAACACAGAGTACGTTATTTGCAACTTGCCTGAACTTTTAAGAATATCAGAGGTTATTTCATGTCCAGCTTGTGCCAAAGAAATAAGCTGAAAGCCAAACAAACAAAAATATGAACTCTTAAATCATACACAAGAAAACTAATGATCTCTATTAAGAAACAAAACTCCATTCTGGTATACAACCTGCAAAGCGACAATGAATTCTTTCAAACCTAGAAATCCTTGTCGTTTAGAATCTGCGATTGCCCAAATCTGAAGATAGAAAAATGAAAAAGAAAAAAAAATAAACGTAAACAATCATAATATGATGCAGTACTACAATTAATCCAAAACAGAACACTAATGAAAGGCAAAGTTTCTAATACATATCTTCTTCTAGTCCAGAGGAAGCTTAAATCCTGCTAAGTAAATCACTATTTACTGTAATTCCAAGATTCATTATATATATTCAAAGAAAGGTCAACCTTAAAGAAACGCATCAA